GGTGTATTATGTTTAAAAATTTTGTTAACAATAGTTTGTAGAGAAGAAGCTTAACCCAGGATACAGATCCACTTTTTGTTATATATCTGCTTCTTGGTATTTCACATATATAAACTTTGCCAATAGCAAGTTTACTTATATAGTATATGAATATTTTTATGTCTACTTTGTTGCTTTTCTATATTATTTACTATAGTTTAATTTTTTATTGTATTTGTTTTTAATTTTCTCTTTCTTGTTTTTTATTTTTCTAATTTTTTTTTTTTTTTTTACAAAAAAGTATTATCAGTTTAACAACATTTTATTGTAAGATAAAAATCTTGATAAGATAAGCAACAACTAGCTAGTGAGTCTGGAAAATATAAATTCTTAGTAAGTTTTAAACCCCCTAAAGAAGACCAAGTGTTGCTAGGCAGATTATATCTAAATATAATATAGCAGTTTAATAGTTCACCCTAACCACAAATGAAAACTATAGCAACTGTGAAATAAAACTGATAAGTTTAACTTTTGGTTGAGATACTACAAACTGTAATTGATATATCGACTATGTAGAGGTTAAGTTTTTCTCTAAATAAAAGTAAACAGAATTGCTAAATAAATATATATATATTTTAGAAAATAACTACATTTACCCGAAGGTAAAATCACCACCCTTATGTTTTTAGGGTTAGAGTGAAATTTTGACAAAGCTTAGGGTTAGACATTAGGACCCAATTTTAGTTGGCATAAGGTTTTTGGGGGTTCTGAACATTTTTACTTAGTACCCCTGAGAGGTGTTAGCTAGTACGTTTTTGAGATATAACACCCCGGTGAATTTTACCTCCGGTGAAAATTAGCAATTCTCTATATTTTATATAGCTTAGATAATATTTTTAGCATAATTCATTTTTAGCATAATCCAACAATAATAACAAATAATTTATTATTTGTTACTAAAATTTTAAATAATATTGTTATTTGAGCAGAAAGAAGCAAAGTAAAAAATCTTAAAGCCTTACTTTAAGAATTTAGCCGATGTTGGCACCTGCTCCTATAATTATAATATTACAGGGTGAAACCCGTTACGTTGTTGATGCAGATCTTACTTAGTTAGGGTTAGTGATAAGGTTAGTTAATATTTTAGTGAACTGCATCAATAACGTAACCAATTTCGCGGGTTTCCATCGCGGGTTTCACCCTGTCGTATTATAATTAATTTAAACTTAAACAGTTAACACGGTTAAACGGTTAAACAAATAGAAAGTTTTAGGCAATGGTTGTGATTATCAGGTATACTAATACGTGTGACTGAAATTTTTAACGGTTTTGACGAATACGAAATCCGAAACTCTTGCTGAAATTCGCAATTTTAGCCGAAATTTATTTTTATAGTATTTCTGCCGCGACCAGTCACTCTATCAATTGTATCATGGCTGAAATTCAGTCCCTAACGGTTCTTATCAAACGCTTGGAAGCTGCCACTTCCCGCCTTGAAGATCTGGCCACCTCTGGCACTTCTGCTGTTGCCGTTGCAGGTAGCCTTGGACGTGACTCAAATGGGAATCAACCTACCGAGCCTTCTAATATACTTCCCGGTGATGGCACGGTTACCGAAACAAAATTTTCTGTCTCTCTTGACGCTTATGATGAACT